ATGTGACATCATACTGTGTTAGAAAGAATGTCTCACAGCAATGAAAAAGACAGAGTATCTGTAAAATATTAGTTGGCAGTTGGTTTAGTTAAGTATCTCTCCACCTATGTTGTAGTAATTGATTAATTTTTAAAGAAGTGCTAAATGAGAAGATATTAATTATTTGTATGTGGTACATATGCTTTTGTGCACATCATTATTTTAATTTACTTTTTAATGAGTAAGCCGATATGATTTAAAAATTATTTCCCAGCTGACATACATGCTAATAAAGAAAAGAAATCTAGTAATTTGTGCCATATTGAATTTAACCTTTTTTTTGTTTTGTTTTAATTTCTAATTACATAGTTCTTTGAGGAACTCAAAGTAGAAAAAATGGATTTAGCCTTCTTGTTCTTTAGCCCAGATACATAATCATTTAGTTAGGACAGAAATGAAATACTCATGTTCAGATCATAACAATATGAAAACAGAATATTTATACAGTTAACTCTCTATTATTTGTCCCTCATTTAATCATGCTTATTTAAAATTGAAAGGCAACAAGGCAAATTGAGTTTCCTGCAAAGCAATTCAGAGCCATCTGAATCATCAGAGAATTAATTTACATTTTGTATTTTAAAAAGTTAAATAAATAAAATTCTTACAACTGGATCATAAACAATATCATGATAGAGAAAATATTGAAGTTGTCAAAAATTTCATTTTACTTGGATCCAAAATCACTCCCATGACAGCAGCAGCCAAGAAATGAAACGATGTATTGCAATGGGCAAATCTCCTGAAAAAGGCCTCTTTAAAGTCTTAAAAGCAAAAATTTCACTTTGAGGACTAAGGTGCATGTGACCCAAGCCATGGTATTTTCAGTCATCTCATACGCATGTGAAATCTGGACAATGAATAAGGAAGACTGAAGAATTTATACTCAAATTATGATATTGGTGAAGAATATTGGATATACCATGGACTGCCAGAGGAGTTAAGAAATCTGTCTTGGGTGAAGTGCAGCCAGATTTCTCCTTAGAAGGGAGGATGGTGACACCTCATTTTATGTACTTTGGGCATGTTATCAGGAGGGACTAGTCTGTGGAGAAGAACTTCATGCTTGGTAAAGTAGAGGGCCAGAGAAAAAGAGGAAGACCCTCAAAGAGATAGACTGACAAAGTGGCTGCAATAAGGGGCTTAAACATAACAGTTGTGAGGATGACCCATGACTGGTCAGTGTTTTGTTCTGTTGTACACTGGGCTGCTATGTCAGAACCAACTTGACAGCACCTAACAACAACAACAATATTATAATTTGTTGTTGTTGTTATGTGCCTTCGAGTCAGACCTAACTCATAGCAACCCCTCCTTGGGTTTCCCAGGTAGTATCACTACGGAAGTAGATTGCCCCATCTTCCTTCCGAGGAGTGGCTGGTGGGTTTGAACCGCCAGCCTTCTGGTTAGCAGTCAAGTGCCTTAGGCACTATGCTACCAGAGCTCCTAATATTATAATATCCTCACTTTAAAAAAAAATTAATAATTTTTTATTGCCCTGCTTATTTATGCATTGTAGTGCCTAAGGCATTTGACTGCTAACCAGAAGGCTGGCAGTTCAAACCTACCAGCCACTCCTCGGATAGAACACTGGGTTATCTACTTCTGTAGAGATACCACCTCAGAAATTCAAGGAGGGGTAGCTATGAGTCAGATTTGACTCAAGGGCAGTGAAAAAATTGTGGGTTTTTTTGGTTTTTGTGGTACAGCACCATGTGTCAGGAGGGATTGTTTACACATTTACAATCACATGGAGGTGTCAAAGTTTCTAGGAGGTAAATCTTTAAGAGTTAATTTGCTACAGTGTTTGAAATAGTTTTCCTAATTCATACTCCATGTATGTCTGTGTAGGGTGGTACATTTGGATATTGATGAATATACTTTTATGTGCTTTATGTCGAAAAATGTTACATTTATGGTTTGTAGCTATCTCTAAATGAAAACCATCCTGCTGCCTTCTAGATGAGGTATGGATTGTCTGGAGAAGACCACATTCTTACCATAATGTTGTTGTTGTTGTTGTTGTTGTTGTTATGTGCCGTCGAGTCAAACCCGACTCATAGCGACCCCTCCTTGGGTTTCCAAGGCAGTATCACTACGGAAGTAGGATTGCCCAACCTTCCTTCCGAGGGGTGGCTGACCATAATGTTAGGATAAGTTTTTATGATTTAATTAGATAAAGATACAAAAGTAAGTTGGAAAGTGAGATAGCCATAAAAAAAATAAATAAAAAAACCCAAACCCACTGCCAACGCTTCGGTCCGACTCATAGCGACCCTCCTTGGGTTTCCAAGGTGGTGTCACTAAGGAAGTAGATTGCCCAACCTTCCTTCCAAGGAGTGGCTGGTGGTTTTGAACCACCAGCCTTCTGGTTAGCAGTCACATGCCTTAAGCACTACACCACCAGAGCTCCCGAGATAGCCACAGGGGGAGGAAAAGATGCATCCAGTATTTGCAAAGCTTCCCTTTCCTCCATGATTCTTTTAAGGGGATGCCAGAATTGGAAAGCTCTTTTCTTCTTCTTGACAATATTATTTTCTTCCACTTTTCCTTTTCCTTTAAAGAAAAATCTACACTAGCTATTCCTTCCCTTCCTTTTGTTGTTGTTGTTATGTGCCGTCCAGTCAGCCCAGACTCATAGTGACCCCTCCTTGGGTTTCTGAGGCAGTATCACTATGGAAGTAGATCGCCCAATCGTCCTTCCGAGGAGTGGCTGGTGGGTATGAACCACCAGCCTTCTGGTTAGCAGTCAAGTGCCTTAGCCACTATGCTACCAGAGCTCCCTTCCCTTCCTTTTAAGGGACTGAATATTTACAAACATTAAGTTGTCCCAGTTCTTGGATCACAGTGCCATATCATTTAGAGAGAAAGCCAAATGATTTCTCAGTTGTTCCTGAACAAAAGCTCTTTTCTCATATTTCCAGAATCCAAGAAAGTTCATTTCTCCATATTTAATTCTGTGACCATTTTTAAACATCATCTAAGAACTGCAGATGGCACTTCTCTGCACTGACCTCTTGTTATTCCCTCTAAATATATTTTGAAGTGCAATATAACTTTAAAATAATGGGATCACAGTGAGGTTGGGTGTCAAAGATTTCCTATCTCTCTGTTGCTGATTATCTGAATGACTTTAAACAATTTACTTAATTCATCTGAATCACTGGTAAAATGAAAGTAATAATATGCATGACAGAGTTGGCATGTAACCACACAAACTAATGAATGTGAAAAAATGTTTTGTGAACTACAGTGCACCTGCAATATGTTTATGTTTGCATGATAAAAGCAGATATTTAAAATAATTTATCTAAAAATGATAGTAAATATTAGGCAAACCTATGCTCTTTGTACAATTATACCATACTTCTGGGCATCTTAGAAAGAGGACATGTTTATGGGTTTTTCTCCCTAAAAATATTTAAATATCTCAAGTAGATTTGTATCCATAGACTAAAAGAAAAAAAATAAAAGTTTTAATTTTAATATTACTACTACTGTGTATAAAAGTCTTCTGAATTAGTGTATCTTCTTTTCATTCAATTAACTCAATTGAATATTTTTTTTTAAAAAAAAAGCTTTCTAAACTTACTATTCTGTAATGACTCATCTAAGAAAATACTTCTTCTATATGGAGATCTCCACCTCTATTTCTTTCGACTGCTAACCAGAGGGTTGGCAGTTCAAACCGACCAGCTACTCCTTGGAAGGAAGTATGAGCGATCTACTTCTGTAGTGATACTGCCTTGGAAACCCAAGGAGGAGTCACTATGAGTCAGGTCCAACTCAATGGCAGTGAGTGTGGTTTTTAGAATCAGATAAAAACCTGTTCCCATTGACTCAATCCTGATTCCCAGCAATCCTATTGTTGTTAGGTGCCGTATCGACATACAGGGCTCCTATATGCAACAGAACTAAATGCTGCTCAGTCCTGCACCATCCTCACAATTATTGCTATGTTTGAGCCCATTATTGCAGCCACTTTGTCCATCCATCTTGTGGAGGGTCTTCCCCTTTTTTGCTGGCCTTCTACTTTACCAAGCACGATGTCCTTCTCCAGGGACTGGTCCCTCTTGATAATGTGTCCAAAGTACGTAAGACAGAGTCTTGCCATCCTTGCTTCTAAGGAGCATTGTGGGTATCCTTCTTCTAAGACAGATTTGTTTATTCTTCTAACAGTCAGTCTATGGTATATTCAATATTCTTCACCAACATCATAATTCAAATGCATTATTCCTCCTCAATCTTCCTTTTCATTGTCCAGCTTTTGCATGCATATGAGGTGACTGAAAAATACCACGGTTTGGGTCAGGCATACATTCATCCCCAATGTGGCATCCTTGTTTCATACATGGAATTAATTAGTATCATATAAAATAATGAATATGCATGACAAATTATATCTGTGTGAAACTCTAATTTTATTATTTCTAGCAATAAGATCAGGGATGCATTCCTTTCTCTCCTTAACACTTGTTTCTGATTGTCAAATGGGAATACTGTCTATTTTGGAATATATTTTGAAGACAAAGTGAAATAATGCATGCTAGGTTCTTGTTGTTGTTGTTAGAATAATGGTTCTTAGAATAATGGCTGATATATAATGAGCACTTAGTAAGTGGTTACTATTGTTTTATTGCTGTTATTATTTGAATTAATTATCTTAATACTTGGTGCCATGTATGGGAAATACTAGGTGCTTAAAAACAAAACTCTCTTCATTCTTCCCCAATACCTATTTCTTGAGTTTAATGGGTCCGTGAAGGGAGTATTTTGAAAGCTATTAATCTGAAATAGGCTAACAGGTTACCATTTATCTAATTTTATATAATTTTCATTCTCTCTCCCTCCTTGCCTTGTTTCCTCCCTCCCTTCCTTCCTTTTTTTTGTGTTTCCTTCCTTCTTTTTTTGTTTTTCTCTCCCCTCTTTCCTTCTCATTCTCTTTTTTTTCCCCCAAGCAGATATTATTTTAAATTTCCGAACAACTTATGTCAGCAAGTCTGGTCAAGTTATCTTCGAAGCAAGATCAATTTGCATTCACTATGTCACAACTTGGTTCATCATTGATTTAATTGCTGCCCTGCCCTTTGATCTCCTATATGCTTTCAACGTCACTGTGGTAAGTAAAGAGATCCCTTTCACATGACCTTGCAGGTTAGTTATACCCCTGTGTTTATTTTTGGCTTGTTCAGGTTTAAATGTCAATGGCAGTTTAGGCATCCCAGGTTTGGGGCACTCAGTCATAAAGATGCCAAGATGTCCAATGATATGCAGTGAACTCTCTACTTGAAGAAGTTACTCCTTTTGAAATTTGCATTACCTGTTTCTGCTTATTTAAATACCCAGAACCAAGATGTGCAAAAAGCCTGAATTTAACAGAAATACTAACCTGCTAAACAAATCATTTGATAAGAAGCCATCTGTAGGAATATAAGCATCACATTATACTATTTAGGTGGATATTTGCATGGGGAATTTGGTGGAGAGTTTGAACATTTTTCCTCCTTTTCTGACCACTGATTTCTGTTGTGGTTCTCTAGTGCTGCTCTAACAGAAAATACAAGTGGAGATGACTTTAATAAGCAGGGATTTATTCTCCTACACTTTTAGGCTAAAAGTCCGAGTTCAAAGTGTCTGCTCTATGGCTGGGTGAAGGCCCCTCAACCTTGGGCTTCAGCTCTGCCTCTTGCTCCTGGCCCACTAAAGCTGGAGGGTTCTCTTAACTCAGGCAGGTGCTGGCTGCTGAAGCTAAAAAGTCAAAGGTCAACAAGTAAAGTGGCACAGTTCCAAGATTATCAAGCAATATGGCAGGCCACTAGTTCAAGTCCAGAAATAGTCCCAAGATCAGCAGACAACATGGCAGGCTGCTGAATGAAGATTCAGCCAAATTTAGGATCCAGATGTGCCAAAAATCTCAAAGACCTTTTTCAAGGCTTCTTCTTATATGCTGGAGGTAGACTGCTTCCCTAAAGTAGCTACTCAGCTCCTATAGCGGATTCCACCATGGAGCTGATTACCAGTCTCATCACAGGAAACACTACATCCAGCTGCCCAGCCACTCAAAACCAGGCCCAGACAAGTTGAAACATAACCTTAACTACCACAACTGCCTAACTCTTGAGAGTTTTGTTACTTACCAACAAAGCCAACACAAGACCAAAAAATGATAGAGAAATGCCAAAATTAAAATAAGCACTTTCAATCACTTCTTATTAAGTCCTTGCAAAACGCTTTAATAGGGCAAAAGCCTAAATGATGCCAATGACTAACATAAAACTTGAGCATTCTTTTGAATTAACATTAGTAAGTTTTCACCCTTTTCTTTCTCTAAGCCTCTTATTCTCTTATTTGTCTCCTCACAGAAAAGAATATATGCTCACATGGAATAGTAATTATTTTTACTACTAGTGGATATTTTTCAAAGTATTAATTGCTCCTTCATAAAATAGGGATGCTTTTGTAGAAGCAAAATAACATTTTTTGGACCATTAATGCAATTTCCTGCTAGAGTTACCAATTTTACCAGGTAAAATTTACTAAACATTAATTCAGACTGAACAAATTTCCTAATCAATTGTCACCCCATATAGAAATTATATTTTCTGTCAAGAATTCAAACCACAAATCAAATCCACTGCCATCAAGCCAATTGCAACTCATAGTGACCCTGCAAGACAGAGTAGAATTGTCCCATAGGGTTTCCAAGGCTGTAAATCTTTAACAAAACTGATGTCACATCTTTCTCCTGTGGAGCAGCTGGTGGGTTTAAACAACTGACCCTTTGATTAGCAACAGAATGCCTTAACCACTGCACCACCAGAGTTCCTAATACTGAACAAAGTGATCAATATTTCAAATACAGACATTATTCATTTCAGAATGAACAAATAGTAATCTTGACTATTTAGTACAGACTTGTACAATTGCTATCTATATAATTATATTACTCTTTCCTTTACTCTTTCTTTTTTCTCTCCCTCTTTTTTTTTTGCTTGTGAAGTTGAGAGTGTCCACATTTTTAAGAGGCTTATAACTCAAATGAAAGGAAAACACTGGGGAAAAATATGCTATGTAATAATCAATCAATGCTGCACTAAATTGTTATCCAAGCTTTTTGAAGTACTTTTTGTGACTGAATTTGACTAGATAAGAATACCATAATGAAAGAGTGATGACTTAAAAGGAGGCTTTTCAAAATGCAAAAGAAATCTAAAGGAAGTATTTCACAAAATGCTTTTAAAAAAAATTAGAATTCTCCTGGTAAAATGTAAGATAAATGGTAGTTAATAAAAGTCTGCTCTAAATTAATTTGCTACTTTATTATTAAATGTTAATAATATTTTTTATTTTTCATTTCACCTTGGGTTCTGAAAAAAATAGAATTTTAAATATATATATATATTATATATATATAATACAATATTAAATATCTATATAGTACTATGTATAGAGAGAGCACTCTGGTGGCATAGTGGGTAAGGCATTTGCCTGCTAACCAGAAAAAAGGTCAGTGGTTCAAACCCACTAACTCCTCTATAGGAGGAAAATGGGGCAGTATACTTCTGTAAAGATTTGTAGCCTTGGAAACCCAATGGGGGT